AAGAGTGGCCTGGTAAAACCACAAACCCGACTGAATGAAACCTCCCCTTTAAACAAAAGAGGGAGGGGTTGGCACCGGCCGGAAATCAAGGCTGTCAGGCCAATCAACTTTGACCCAGCCCAAAGAAAGGGGAAGGGAATTAAAATGTCGGGAGGGGAACTGTTTTGATTTTTACGCAGAATTTGGATATAAAACTTGGGAAAGAGCTAGCTAAAAGCTCTTTCAGTAGCTTGCATTAGAAGCTTTCTTATTGAATTCTTATGCTTTCCAGTGAGAATCTGATTGTAAATCTAGTTTATCTTTCCATCAGCTTATGGGATTTGTTGCAGAAGAAAGAAAACATTACACTGTTTACCCACCCCCGCAGCAAGTCTTCACGTGGACCCAAATGTGTGACATAAGAGATGTAAGTACCAGTTGTGGGTGAATTTTACTAAAAGGAGAGTAGGACTCAAATGGTAGTTTTTAATTAGGGACACTGGAGTTAAGCCACTGTCCATAATTCAGTAATAAATAAAATACTGAAATTGTGAGGTTTGGCGGGCTGTATTTTAGCCTATATGTACCCCGTTTAACTTTTACTGTGTGCCGTTCATATAGCAAAAAAAGAAAAGTATGTACGTAAACCGTGGGTCTGTATGCTCTCACTTGTATTTTATTTTATCCTTAAACCGACCCCATGCCCGTGAGAGGTAAAGTGTGGTGGTGAGGAAACTGAGGCACGAAGCAGTTAAGTGTTTTTCAAGTGGTTGTCGGCGGTCCCACCTTGACTTGCAGCTCAGTGTTCTTCCTGTCTGACCACACCATCCTTTACCGTTGATTCTTTCAAACTCTTGACTTCTGGTCTGAACACATCTCCTGCTAACACATTCCTTTGCTTTGGTTCAGTGTATATACAATGGCTGCTCGCTGTCAGAAGCTTGTTTGTGGCTCCCCACGGTGCAAACTATAAAAGCTGAGGGTGAATACGGCCACTTCCTGCTTCCCAGCCTCACCTCCACCTTCCATTCTCCTCCTCGAGCTGGACAGGGCGGTGACCCTCTCCTCACTTCTGTCCTTTGAAAACCAACTAGATGCATCTCTGGCACCTCCCGGAAGGAGGCCTGTCCCCCCACTATATTTGTGATGTGGGTTTTTAGTATCTGCTTGCATTGGAGGTGTTCCAGTTTTTTGTTCTCCTTTTGCCTTACTGATTTTGTCAGCTGACGGTAGGACTCCCGTGATTTAATAAGTACCTGTTAAATCAAAGAGAAGTGAAATTGTTGAAGAAGCCGTCGTGGTGAGGCTGTGACACTCCTAATACTTAGCAGACTTCACAGTTTTCATTTCAGAGCAAGCACTTCGAACGTACCTCCTTGTTCGTAAAGTTAAAAAAAAACAAGCCCTATTACATTCAGTACTAGTTTGCCCCTTGTTTGAAGTATGTCCTGAGTACCAATGAGCAATATTGTAAAGAAAGACTAAGAAAAGCGCATGAGACTTCTGAGGATCAGAGGGCCCGGTGGGGCTTGTTTGCCAATGAGCATGTGGAGGGTCGGGGGTGTTCCCTGGCTCCTCTGAGGTCCTTATCCAGGACCTGAACCGGAAAGCTTCCCCGCTCGGACAGGTTGCTTCACATTGGGGAATGTGCCAGGGGCAGTGTGGGTACCAACCGGAGGAACGGAGAGGCCCATGAAAGCTGCCTGATTGTGGGAACGTCTGAAGCTGGATTTTGAAGGATAAAGTGTATGTTGGCCACAGAAGGAGAGTCTTAAGAAGGAACACGGCAGAAGTGTGGGAATGAAGAGAGGTGGGTGGGCAGGCACCCTATCAAAAGGCCTAGTAGTATTTTCACACCACTGACGGTGACAGTGACCTCATTCTCCTCTGGTTCCATCCCTTAAGAGGACACAGGCAGACCGTGTTTTATTGCGCTTGGCAGATCCTGTGATTTTTACAAATCGAAGGTTTGTGGCAACCTTTCATTGTCAGATGATGGTTAGCTTTTAGCAATAAAGTACTTTCTAATTAAGATACGTACTTTTTTTTGACATGCAATTGCACACTTAATAGACTACCATATCGTGTATGCACTAGGAAACCAAAAAATTTACGTCGCTTGTTTTATCGCGATGTTTGCTTAATGAGACGGTCTGGAGCTGAACCCACGGTGTCTCCGCGGCGTACCCGTCCAGGGGAGCAGGCTCCTTCATATGCTGCTGCTGGGCAACTGGAGTTTCTTCAGCTCGTGGAAAAGCAATTTGGCATATGTCGATGAAAATTTTAAATACACTTAATACTGTGACCAACAACTCCACTCCTCTGAATCTATTCCATAGAAATGAAAGCAGCAGTATGTAAAGATACATGTAGTAGGATGTTTACTGCGTTATTTTTTAAGGGAAAAAACTGGGAAACCAGCTGACTGCCCATCAACAACTGAGCTCTGTTGACTTAAAGGAGGCCTACAGCATATGATGTGGGAAACACAAAAATGTAGGGTGATGAGTACAATGACCCTCATTATATATCAATAGGTGATTATAAATGGTTGAATCAGGATGGGGTAGGGATGACCGGGAGATCTTGATATGTTTCTGGATGGACGTACTTGTGACAAGGGCGTATTTCCTTTTGTAATTTGAAAAACGGAGGGGATGAAAGCAAAGTTGACCCCAGCTTGTTTCAAACACGTGGGTCAGAGAAGGGAGGGGGCACTGCAGCAGGTGACTGAGGGAAGGATAACTGGGTAATGCAAAGTGATGGTGCCAAGTCACCTGCTCCCTTCTGGGGGCTCTTAGTTGGGCCGGGAGCGGGGCCTGCCCTTGTCCTCATAGTGCCCCTTTGTATAAGTTATCAGCCAGCCAGGTGTCCGTTCAGACTGCCTGTACTATAGTGTTTGATCCTCACCATCTGGTGTTCACAGGTGAAGGTTGTCGTCCTGGGACAGGATCCATATCACGGACCCAATCAAGCTCATGGGCTCTGCTTTAGTGTTCAAAGGCCCGTGCCACCCCCACCCAGGTACGCAGGCTTTACAGGTGCCTCAGCTCCAATCGTGATCACTTTCAAATTACAGGTGCACCTGTTTGTGGGACCGTCACTAGCCTTTGGAGCAGGATTTCTCAGTTTCTGCACTACTGACATGTGGGGCTGGGTCTCTGTGGTCGGGGGGCTGCCGTGTGCGTGGTAAGATGTTTAGCAGCACCCCTGGCCTCGAGATGCCAGCAGCACGCCCCACCCCCACCCCATTTGTGACAATGAAAAATGTCTTCAGATGTTTTCAGCAGTCCCCTGTAGGGCCACATCACCCCTGGTTAAGAACCCCTGCTTTGGAGGATTTTACATATCACTTACAAATATAATGAACATTAAAGGTATAAACTAAATCCATCACTTGGGAGTGGGGTGGTAACTCCTGGGCTAATTTGCTTAGGTTTTCCAAAGTTCTCTTCCTTAAACCCAAGCACTGACCGAAGTAAAGGCGTTTGGCAGGTGTGCCTGTCTAAAGGAAGGGCAGCGTTTCCCATGAATCAGTGCAGTGCGTCCTGTTGTCCGCCCCGAGGGCTGGCTTTGCAGACTAACTCAGGTGTGTGCTGGAGGGTCCTGAACTTTCTGAATTGTGCTTAAGATTCTGTTTTTGTTTGTTTGTTTTTCTTCTGGCTTGCTTTCAGTTTGGAAAACATTTATAAAGAACTGTCTACAGACATAGATGGTTTTGTTCATCCTGGTCATGGAGATTTATCCGGATGGGCCAGGCAAGGTAAACCAGCCACTGCTAGATGTGTTTTGGATGGATTTCAACTGTCTTTTCTGTCTGGCTTGCTTATATTTTTAAAAGATACCCGTGAAGAACCAGAGAGCTCTAATAAAATGGCTAAGTTTATGTAAGTCAAAGAATGTATCTCACCACCCCCTGATATCCAGGGAGAGGAGATGGGCTGGAGGTTGAATCCATTGCCAGTGGCCAGTGATTTAATCAGTCATGCTTATGTAATGAAGCCTCCATAAAACCACCAAAGGATGACATTTGGAGAGCTTCTGGGTTGGTGCACGCATGGAGATTGGAGAGAGAGGCAAGCTGAGAGGGCATGGAAGCCACGTGCCCTTCCCCTCTGTCTTGCCCTTTGCACCTCTTCATCTGACTTGCCTGCATCATTTAATATCCTTTGTAATAAACCAGTAATCTAGTGGAAAAAAATGTATCTCGCTTTTCCTGCAGCCAGCGTTTTTCACGTTTTAATCATAGCATGAAAGGGAAAAGTTGGTTCCTCGTCATTCATATTTTACGTTGAACCACTCAACTTCGACCATTCAGAAGGTGGCCTCAAGTTTTCTCATTTTGACACACGGGTTATGTTGTGTGTGATTAATACCTATCTGTGGGACGTCTTTCTCCTTTTTTAACAAACTATAATCAGGATTAGGAAAGAATATCTACTCTTTCCTTGCAGTGAGATTTTTGTTTCAGTGAAACGTCTTGGCCTCCTTGTGTTACTTTCCAGGGTTATTTCATATCAGTTAATGTTTTTTTGTTGTTGTTTTTTTTTGTGGTACGTGGGCCTCTCACTGTTGTGGCCTCTCCCGTTGCGGAGCACAGGCTCCAGACGCGCAGGCTCAGCGGCCATGGCTTACGGGCCCAGCTGCTCCGCGGCATGTGGGATCTTCCCGGACCGGGGCACGAACCCATATCCCCTGCATCAGCAGGCGGACTCTCAACCACAGCGCCACCAGGGAAGCCCAGGGTATATTTTTTTAAACAATTTCTGATGATGGATATAATGCACGGTCACTGTTGCAAACTCAGAAGTTTGGTCTTGAAAGTGCAGAGGTGAAAATGAATCTCGCACAGAGGCACCAGCTGGTCATGTCCTAATGCTTTCTCCACCACCTGATTTCAGGTGGCTGCACCAGCTTGCATCTCGGGGTGGTTTTGTCATGCGTTGAGACCATTATTGGGTGTTTAGGCCAACTCGGTTCAGCCTCCCCTTCTCTTTTCTTTTAGTTTTATTGAAGTATAGCTGATTTACAATGTTAATTTCTGCTGTGCGGCAAAGTGATTCTGTTACACATGTTCTTTTTCATACTCTTTTTCATTACGGTTTATCACAGGATATTGAAGAGTTCCCTGTGCTATACATCCTATATATAATAGTTTGCATCTGTTAACCCCAAACTTCCAGTCCATCCCTCCCTCATCCCCCGCCCCCCACCCCCCGCCGTGACAAGCACAAGTCCGTTCTCTATTATCTGTGAGTCAGTTTCTGTTTTGTAGATATGATCATTTGTGTCGAATTTTAGATTCCACGTTTCAGCCTCCCTTGAACCTGCTTCTTTGCTATGTGCTCGCAGGTGTTCTCCTGCTCAACGCTGTCCTCACCGTCCGGGCGCATCAGGCCAATTCTCATAAAGAGAGAGGTTGGGAGCAGTTCACCGATGCTGTTGTGTCCTGGCTCAATCAGAACTTGAACGGCCTTGTCTTCCTGCTCTGGGGCTCTTATGCTCAGAAGAAAGGCAGTGCCATTGATAGGGTATGTTTTGGGGTTGTTTTGTTTTGTTTTTTAAACAGGTTAGAGAATTCTAGGAATCCCTTTATGTGGTCCTAGAAAATCCGTGTCCTAAAATGAATCTTATTTTCCCTTAAAACTGTGATAATTAGGATTAGGTTTCCCATCGAAAATTGAACAGAATTCAGGGACTTCCCTGGTGGTCCAGGGGATGAGAGTTCGTGCTCCCAACGCAGGGGCACAGGTTCCATCCCTGCTCAGGGAACTAAGATCCAGCATGCCACACAGCACAGCCAAAAAAAAGGAAAGAAAGAAAATTGAACGGAACTCTGACGAAATGATTAGTTGTGTATGAGGAGAGCAGCTGGCCAGCTTCTGCTTAGATGCAGTTGGTAACACTGGCATAAGCTTGCTGCATACACAGAAAGATACACAGGTCCCCAGGTTCCATTCATGTAACAAACGATGCAGTAGATGATGAGCAAGGTAAGTCGCTTGCTTTCAACAAGTTTGAGGGTATATGGAAAACATGAAGACTTCCACTTAATCGCAAATGTAACCGCCCCCCATGAGAACACCATCAGTGATGATTCTTAAACCTGGGCCCTGGTTGCTGGTCCCCTACACCAGCCCAGCTCTTCAGTCTCTGCGCGCCCCACCGCATCCTCCCCTGACCCACCTGCGTATACTTGGTTGCTGAGATTAAAAACCGGAAGTCATCCTTGAATGCCCTCCCTCATCCCCTTAAACCCAGTCCTAAAACCATCCTAATCCTGCCTCCCCTCTGTGCTGAGCCCTGGCATTTCTCTCTGGGATGCCTGTGACCAGACTGGAGGTGATGCTGGTATGAAGGAGACTGGCAAGGGGAGGAGGGGGCGTAGGGCTGGGAGGGAGGGAGACGGCAAGGAGGAGTGTTTAGCTTGGGCTACTGGGAGGCAGTGAATTGGGTGGTGAGGGTGGGGGGAGAAATCATAGCATAAACACGTCATAAGTGAGGTAAAGGGATGAACCGAGGCGACAGGGCAGTAGCTTATGGTGTATCAGATACGTGCAAACAGGTGTCAGGAGCAAGTCCAGCACTTTTCACACAGCATCTCTCCTGACCTCGACGCAGGCTGTTGGGGGTGGGAGGGATACGCTGACCCCGCTTTGTACTGGGGCTCAGGGACGCGAGGTCACTTGCCCACTTGCGGTGAATGGAGCTTCGGACTCTGATCCAAGCAGCCAGCTCACCTGGGCGGGCCCGTGGGGAGGCCTGCCCAGCCCACGGGCGAGGGTGGCAGGGTTCCAAGCCAGCCATCAGCTCTAGAGACTTGACTCACATGTCAGTTAACTATCTCCTCCATTTTCACTTAAGTGGAGTTCTACCTTTATTTTGTAATTTAGGCCTTTTTTAAGGTAGTAGATTCACATGGTTAGAAACTAAAGGATTTCAAGGCCTCCCCTCTCAGTCCCCATCCGTTCTGACTCTTCTTGGCCTGGAGTAGGCGCTGGGGTTTACTGTCTGACATCTCTGGCCAGTGTCTTTTTTTTTTTTTTTTTTTTTTTTTTTAATTTATGTTTATTTTTGGCTGCATTGAGTCTTCATTGCTGCGTGCAGGCTTTTCTCTGGTTGTGGCGAGCGGGGGCTACTCTTCGTTGTGGTGCACGGG